GGCCTGATGCGGTGCGGAGCGCGTGTGTGGCCAAGAACAGAGCCTTGACTCATGTGGGAGCAGACAAATGGGTGCCCTATGTGGAGTGGCTAGGAAGGAAGCCAAAGGTGGATATGCTTCAGGTGTTCGGGTGCATGTGCATGGCGCTCGTGCCTAAGCATCTTCGGCACAACAAGCTTGGTGCCAAGGCGGTGTGGGCCGTGCACTTGGGCATGACTCAAAACAGCAAGGGATGGATTCTTTGGGACCCATTCACCAAGAAGTTCTTGGTGAGCAGGGACTGCAAGTTCATGGAGAACTTCATGTACAAGGATTGGAAGGCGGAGAATGAGGCGAAGATAGGCGTGCGGTTTGGGGAGGTGAAGAGTTCCGGTTTGGAGCATGTGGAGCTGCCTTTGGAGCTGAGCAGCGGCAGCACAACCACAAGGCAATCCTCCCTTGTGAATGGGGGAGAGGAGGCCAATGATGCAGAGGAAGAAGAGGAGGAGGTGCAGCAAGTGAGCGAGCGTGCACCGTCACTCCCTTCCCGTACTACGAGTGCTCCACGGATTCGAGCCACACCGCAGCAACGCCAAGGCCTTCAAGTCCCTGCAGCTGAGGAGGAAGGAAGGGGGAAGAGGAGAGTTCAACCCCCTAATAGGCTGACCTATGATGCGCCGGGAAAGCAGGGCAAGACAGCCCTGGCCGGAGCGGCAATGATGGTCGGAGACGACGAGGAGAGTGACTACGAGGAGTACGCCTTCGCGTTCTTCTCTCCGGTGGAGATGCCGGGAGAACCAGCAACTCTCAAGGAGGCTTTGGAGAGTAGTGATGCTGAGGAGTGGAAGAAGGCCATGGAGAGTGAGCTGAAGAGCATTGAGGAGAATGACACGTTTGAATTGGTGGAGCTACCGGAGGGGCGTACGGCGATAACGTCCAAGTGGCTCTTCAAAATCAAGTCGGATGCCGACGGCAAGATCGAGCGCTACAAGTCTAGGCTTGTAGCCAAGGGGTACCAGCAGAAGGAGAAGGTGGACTTCAAGGAGCTGTTTGCCCGTGTGGTGAAGCCGACGACGCTGCGAACCCTATTCGCGGGAGCCGCCATCAAAGGATGGGTAGTAAAGCAAATGGACATCGTAACGGCATTCCTTAACGGCATCCTTGAGGAGGAGATTTTTATGGCGCAGCCAGAGGGGTTTGATGATGGTAGTGGCAGAGTGTGGAAGCTGAAGAAGGCCCTCTATGGGCTGAAGCAGGCCCCTAGGCAATGGTACATGAAGCTGCGCGAAGTGTTGGAGGGGATCGGCTTCACTCCCTCAACGGCCGATCACTCCTTGTTCATGCTTGGCGAGGGGGAGCAGAGGAGTTTCATGGTGGTTTATGTGGATGACATCCTCATTTTCTCACCCTCTTCTGACCTTGTGAAGGAGGTGATGCTGAAGCTTCAAGACAAGTTCAAGTGCAAGGCCCTTGGTGACGTGAGCTTCTACCTTGGGCTCCACATCGAACGAGATGTGGAGAAGCGGTGCATGCGGGTGCATCAACGAAAGTACCTGGAGGCATTGGCTGCCAACTTTGGGCAGAGTGAAGGCCATGTGGCTACACCCTTTCCCTCTGGGTTCAAGTGTGTGAAGGGACCAGAGGAGGAGAGCGTTGGTGAAGAGGAGAGGCGCCGGTTTCACTCGTTGGTGGGCAGCCTCATGTATGCGGCGGTAAACACCCGACCGGACGTCGCGTTTGCTACCGGGCAGCTGGCTAGGGTTGTGCAATGCCCTAATGAGGAGCAGGTAGCAGCTGGAATGAGGGTGGCCAAGTATCTTGGCCAAACACCGACCGTTGGGCTGCAATACTCGGCGGCGGCACAAAGGCGCCAAAAGGGCGCGGATGGTGTTGAACCCGGGCGTTTGTTCCTCACCGCCTACTCGGATGCTTCATATGCATCAGAACCAGAGGACATGACAAGTGTGGGAGGCTTCATATGCTGTGTTGGTGGAGGCCCAACTGCTTGGGAGAGCAAGAAGCAGGTTGACCAAGCTTTGAGCTCGGTGGAGTCCGAGTACATGGCACTCTTCCGTGCCGTACGGGAGATTGTGTGGCAGCGGCGTTTGTTGGCTGAATTGGGGGAGGAGCAGCAAGGACCTACCCCACTGTACTGTGACAGCCAGGGTGCCATTGCTCTTGCTAAGAACCCTGTGTTGCATGGACTCACGAAGCACATGAGGGTGAAGTGGCATTGGACGAGGAGCATGGTAACCGCGGGTGAAGTTGAGTTGCGCTACGTGAAGACCACGGGGCAGCCGGCTGATATGATGACCAAGAGGCTGGTGGAGCAGCAGCATTGGAAGTGTTGCAAGCTGGCTGGGATGGCTCTGAACTGAGAGAGCAACATGTCCTAAGGCCAACAATCCGAGGGGGAGTTTGTTGGTGCAACCCTACGGTTTGCACTCGGCTTGTTGTCCGTATGCGTGAATGTGTGTGTGTATGGAATGGTATGAGGGCATGGGATAATATATATTTCATGCTTATAATTGTGTGTGAATGTTGAGTCATGATGTCGAGTGTGTGTGTCGAGTCAATAGCGAGTTATCGCTAGACGCGTGTTACGCGGTCGTTTGTGTCTCGCGCTCGGTTTCTATTTTGTCGTGCGCGGTTTCTATTTTGTCCTGTGTCGAACGTTCGGCGTGTCGCAGGTGTGTGCAGCAGACCCATCAAGAACTCAAGGATGAGTTTGTGATGAAGAGCCCGAGCCTTGGTGTCAAGCCTCAAGTGATTTCGAAGCTCGCCAAAAAGGGTACACCTCAAGATATTGAAGATATTTACATTACTTTGTGTAGTGTAACATTTCACTTGGTGTAGGCCCTAGTGAAGGGTAGTTTCGAGACCCTTCGTGGTTGGGGACAGTGTGGCACTGTTACACATCACTGTACCTCGGCTCTTGGGGTTTGTAGGAGCTGGGAGTCATTCCCAACTCGTAACTCTTCCTATCTTGTGTTCTAAGACTATAGTGGCTGCCATAGTACCGTTCGTTCAAACCGACGCTGTGTCGTCAATTCTTTATCAAATCGTGCAATCTAAATTGCTAATTGTAGACGACGTGAAGACGCTCCAGATCCAACAGGTCATTTGCAGCTGTGAGCAGAACGCTATCAACGTTTGAAGCCGCTGTGCAGAAATCCGTCTGTGCTCTCTATCTTTCGTTTTAGGCACATTCAAGCCTATTGTGACTATAACAGGCCCGTACCTAGTGTGAAGAAAATGAGAAATGAAGAAGAGAGGGTTTGCACTTGCAGCAGTTGGCATACATATAGGAAACCCTTATTGGGTTGTACTTGCTATAGAGTACCCCACTGCAGGCTAGACAATTATAACATTCTGACACACCGTCATAGCCAAAGTTGGGTGTAATCAGCACAATGAGCAAGCAGGCATAGAGCAGGAGGTCACAATAGGGAGCAAAGCTAGAGTTAATCACAGCGGGCAAATGAGGAAGAGGAGGAACTGTGGAGCGAGAGAAGATGGGAGGCAACGACTGAAGCTGCAGAGGCACGGGCACAGGAGCGGCTGACTCAGTGGCTACCGAAGCAAGGGCGACGGACTACTGGAGTAACTGGCTCCGTGGCTATAGACGAGCGGCAGGAGCAACGGACCCACTGGCGACTGGTGCAACAGGCTCACTGGCTACCGAAGCAAGGGCGACGGACTACAGGCGCTGCAGGCGACACGACAGCTACCTTCACACAACCTCCTCCAGCTGCCCCACACCCTCGACACACACCCACTGCTCAAACCCTAGTTCCACTCCCACAGCACCCCCCTTTCACACACCCCTTGCTGCACCCTAGGTTCACTCACACCCCACCCCCTAGCACCACTCCGTCGACTCCCACACACCTACCCCCCTCAGCGGCAGCTGCAGCAGTGGGAGACAGAGGAGGAGGAGCAGGGGAGACCACACACCCGCCACCCCCTACTCGCCACCCCCAGACCCTAACACAGGGCAGGGCGGGACGGCGGGTAGGGAGGTTACGGGGGGGGGGGGGAGGGGGGGGGCCGACGCGCGGCCTCCCTGGGCGCCAAAACAGGCGGCAGAAGGGGTGACGCTCGCCCCCCCCCCCAGGTCGCCTCGACAGGCGACGGGAAAAGAGGGGGGGGGCGGTGCACGGGCCCCCGGTGCGCCGCGACAGGCGACGGAGCATGGCCGGGGCGGGGCCGGGGCAGGGTCGAGGCAGGGCCGAAAGGGGCGGCGACGGGGCCGCAAGTGGCGGCGACGGGGCCGCTGGAGGCGGCGACGGGGCCGATAGGGGCGGCGACGGGGCCGCTAGGGGCGGCGACGGGGCCGATAGGGGCGGCGACGGGGCCGCGAAGGGGCCGCGAGGGGCCTGGAAGGGCGGCGACGGGCCGCTAGGGGCGGCGACGGGGCCGCAAGTGGCGGCGACGGGGCCGATAGGGGTGGCGACGGGGCCGCTAGGGGCGGCGACGGGGCCGCTGGTGGCGGCGACGGGGCCGCGAAGGGGCCGCGAGGGGCCTGGAAGAGCGGCGACGGGCCGCTAGGGGCGGCGACGGGGCCGCTAGGAGCGGCGACGGGGCCGCTGGTGGCGGCGACGGGGCCGATAGGGGCGGCGACGGGGCCGCGAAGGGGCCGCGAGGGGCCTGGAAGGGCGGCGACGGGCCGCTAGGGGCGACGACGGGGCCGCGAAGGGGCCGCGAGGGGCCCCGTGCCCAGCCCGTACCTAGCCCAGCGCACGGCCCCAACCCTAGCCAGTGCCCGGCCCCGTACCTAGCCAGCGCCTGGCCCTATACCTCGCCCGCGCCCGGCCACGTACCCTGCCCGCGCCCGGCCCCGTCTCTCGCCCGCGCTCGGCCCGTACCTAGCCCCGCGCCCGGCCCGTACCTAGCCCAGCGCACGGCCCCGACCCTAGCCAGCGCCCGGCCCCGTACCTAGCCTTCACCCGGCCCCGTACCTGCCCAGCGCCCGGCCCCGTACCTAGCCGCGCCCCTCGGCCCCACTGGCCTCGTTGCCCCTAGCTATGGCAAGAGGGGTGATGACTTCCTGCCCGCGTGCCCTGCAGTCGCACGCACAGCTCCGCCCCTCCCCCCTCCCCCTCCTCCATGGGGACGGGGGGGAGAGGGTGTGAGGGGGTGGCGGATGTGCCTCAGCAGCAGCAGCTGCCGCCGCGCCTCCTCCTCTCTCTCCCTGCCGCACCTTGTGTTGGGAGAGGGGGGAAAGCTTGGAGGTTCAGAGGGAGTCAGGAGGGGATCTGCAGCACCAGCCCCCCCCGCCCCCCCCCTTTCTCCTCCACCCCTGCTGCGGTTGCAGCAGTGGGGGGGAGGGGATCTGCAGCAGCAGTGGGGGGAGGGGATTTGCAGCATCAACCCCCCCCCCCCCCCCCCCCCCCCGCCCTTTTCTCTTCTCTCTCTCCCTGCCGCACCCTGTGTTGGGAGGGGGGGGGAGCTTGGAGGTTCAGGGGAGGCACGAGGGGATCTGCAGCACCAGCCCCCCCCGCCCCCCCCCCCCCTTTCTCCTCCACCCCTGCTGCGGGTGCAGCAGTGGGGGGGAGGGGATCTGCAGCAGTAGTGGGGGGGAGGGGAGTTGCAGCATCAGCCCCCCCTCCCCCCCCCCCCCACTTCCCCCCCCCCCCGCCTCCCTTTTCTCCTCACTCTCTCCCTGCCGCACCCTGTGTTGGGAGGGGGGGGGAGCTTGGAGGTTCAGAGAGAGGCAGGAGGGGATCTGCAGCACCAGCCCCCCCCGCCCCCCCCCCCCCTTTCTCCTCCACCCCTGCTGCGGGTGCAGCAGTGGGGGGAGGGGATCTGCAGCAGCAGTGGGGGGGAGGGGAGTTGCAGCATCAGCCCCCCCCCCCCCCCCCCCCCCCCCACTTCTCCTCCATCCCCCTGCTGCGGGTGCAGCAGTGGGGGGGAGGGGATCTGCAGCCCTGTGCTGCCCTGCAGCCCTGCGCTCCCTGCGCGCCCTACTGTCCTGCTGCCCTGCGCGCCAGGGCTGATTTTATCAGGGTAATTACCCTGATTTTAGGGTGATTTCAGACTTGTTATTTTCTGGACCCTGAAAAATCAGGTTTTTCACATTTTGGTCCCTGATCCATTCAGAGAATTGCTTTAGCGGACCCTGAAATTTTGTGTACACTCTCAGTATAGGGTTTTCACGGACCCTGTCAATACAGAGTACGAGGCCTGTGGACCCTGAATGCGATGTTATCGGGGCGAAGTTTTTCGGAAATTTCCTCCTGATAACCCCTTCGCATTGATTTCAGTGCCCCCCATGTGCGTAATCCCCCCCCCCCCCCCCCCCCCTCGCTTTATCGAGACGAATTTTCTTCGAAGTTTCATTCCCATACACCCACCGTCTAGATCGGGCGAATCTGTAATGTCAGATTTTAGGTTGCTGTTATTGGTCGAAATAGATGTGCTCTAACACAGCGCCAGTCACATCGCCACAGTGCCAGTCACATCGCCACAGTGCCAGTCACATTGCCAGTCACATTGCAAGTCACAGCGCGCCAGTCACAGCGCCAGTCACAGTCACCCTTGCGACACCAACAGCAGATTCGACCTTTGCTCCGTACGGAAATCCCTTTTGCGCTAGGTCAAGGCAGATTCTGCTTGAATTCCCCGTAGACTGTCAGATTTCGAGCAGATGTTGCGATTAGGGTAAAGAATGAGACTTCTGATTGAGTGAGACTTCTGTCCTCGGTAAAGAAAGAGCGCGTTACTACGACCCGAATTTTCAATTCTCGACCCTGAACATTCAGAGTTCACTACTTCTCAACCCTGAGCAATCAGGGTGCTGTTTTTCTGGAAAATGTGCCTTCAGGGTTTTTTTTTTTTTTTTAGGTTGAACTCAGGGTACCTTAATTTGAAACGTCAGCCCTGGCCCTGCTGCTGCCGCTACAGCCCTTGCTGTTGCCGCTACAGCCCTTGCTGCTGCCCTGCGCGCCCCGCGCGCCCTGCAGCCCTGCTGCGCCCCGTGCGCCCTGCAGCCCTGCGCGCCCTGCTGTCCTGCTGCCCTGCGCGCACTGCAGCCCTGTGCGCCCTGCGCGCACTGCAGCCCTGCGCGCCCTGCGCGCACTGCAGCCCTGCGCGCCCTGCGCGTACTGCAGCCCTGCGCGCCCTGCGCGCATTGCAGCCCTGCGCGCCCTGCTGCCCTGCAGCCCTGTGCGCCCTGCTGCCCTGCAGCCCTGTGCGCCCTGCTGCCCTGTTTGCCTCGCGCGCCCTGCTGCCCTGCAGCCCTCTGCGCCCTGCTGTCCTGCTGCCCTGTGCGCCTCGCGCGCCCTGCTGCCCTCTGCACGCGCCATGCACAAACCCCCCCCCCCCCCTTCTCCTACCTCCCCCTGCTGCAGGTGCAGCAGTGGGGGGGAGGGGATCTACAGCACCAGCCCCCCCCCCCCCCCCCCCCCTTCTCCTCCATCCCCCGCTGCAGGTGCAGCAGTGGGGGGAGGGTATGGGGGTGGCGGGTGTGGGTGCAACTGCAGGGTGGCGGGTATGGGGGTGGCGGGTGTGTGAACCGTCCCCTCCTCCTCCTCCACCTTCGTCTCCCACTGCTGCAGCTGCCACTGAGGGGGGTGGGTGTGTGGGAGCCGAGGGATTGGTGCTAGGGGGGTGACGTGGGAGTGGAGCTAGGGGTGTAGCAAGGGGTGTGTGTAAGGGGGGTGGGACAGTTGGGGGAGGTTGAGCGGAGGCTGCCGTCTTGTCGTCCGCAGCACCTGTAGTCTGGGGCTCTGCTTCTGGTAGCTCAGAGAGCCTGCTGTGCCTATCGCCTGTGGGTCCGTTGCTCCTGCCGCTCAGAGTTAGCTGCAGAGCCAGTTACTCCTGTAGTCCGGGGATACGGCCCTGGTAGCCATAGTGCGCGCCGCTCCTGTTGCCCGTGTGTCTGCAGCATCAGCCGTCGCCTCCTATCTCCTCTCCTCTCACAGTCCAGCCTCCTCCTCCTCACTTGCCCTTTGTGAATGCCTCTAGCTTTGCTTGTACTTGTGAACCTGCTCTATGACTGCTTGCTCTGCTGATTATACCCCACTTTGACTATGGGGGTGTGTCAGAATGTATTTGCTGTTTAGCCTGCAGTGGGGTACTCTGTAGTGAGTACAACCCAATTTAGGGTTTGCTATTTGTATCCCAACTTCCTTTAGTGAAACCATCCCTTTCTCGGTTCTCCCTTGCACAATCCTCTCGACACTCTAACCTAGCTATGGCTCCTAAGCCTAAGTCACGCTAGGATTCTCACACTTTTTGCAGCCGGAATACACCCTGCACTACGCGAGACCGCCGCTGCACACCCGGAAGTTCTCTGCTTGGCGTACGCGGACGATGTGACGTTCATAGGGGAACAGGAGAACACTGTAGCCGCCTTCACCTTCTTCACCAGCAAACTGGTGCACCTGGGCCTGACCCATAACCCGGAGAAATGCGCAGCTTGGAGCTCGGCCACAGTCGTGACTACCCAGCTCCCACCCGGGGTCCCTCTTTCCAAAGAAGGGGTGCGCCTCCTTGGTAGTTACCTGGGCCCCGCCACCGGCGCCGCCAACTTCCTAGCGGGGCAACTGGAGGAGATGGCGAAGCCGTTACCACTCCTCATACGAGCCGACCCCCAAGTTGCCTCACTGCTGCTAACCCGCTGCATCTCCAGGCGGGAAGCCTACATCACTCGAACGACCCCTCTCAACCTCCTCTCCTGCAATACGTGGTCTCAATGGGGCAGAGACCTGTTAGCCACGCTGCTCACCTCATGCGGCATCCGGGTCCCCTCGTGCAGCACAGAGCACTCACGGGTTTGGGCACAGGCTTCGCTCCCTCCGTCTCTAGGTGGGATCGGCATTAAGGATCCCCTAGTAGAAGGTGTGCATGGCTTCTTGGCGAGCTTCACCCAGGCGGCGCTTTTTCTCACTTCCCTCACACTAGCGCCGGATAGTGCCCTGGCACATGCCCGGAACCACATGCTACTGCCCCGGGACGTCACCTCGCCACTACACACCTGGCTCACTAAGTGGGAACTGGCTCTGCCAACTGACGCATGAGAACTACTAGAAAAGGAGAGACTGGCGCGGTCGGATCTGAGGCTCTAGCACGAGCTTGCTTTGAGAGTCCAGGGGAGCAGATACGCCGTCCAAGTCCAGGAGAGTAGGCGCATGAGGCCGAACCCGCTATCCGGCCACACCCAACGACTGTTCTCACTGACCGGTTACGGCACAAGAGATTGGCTGACCGCCATCCCCATCGCAGCCAATCGGCGCATTGGACCTGTGCACTTCGCTAACGCTGTTCGCTTTCGGCTCGGCCTCCCATTCTCTACGCCGGCGAACTGCAACTGCACGGACCAAACAGCCATCCCTGACCCATGTCTACCAAACCACCTCTTCCGCTGCGGCACGGGCAAGCACCGCATTAACACCCACAATGAACTCCGGGACGCATGCATCAGCATGGCCCAAGACGCGGGGTTCATAGTCCACAGCGAGTCCGCAGCCTTCTGCCCGATTGAGGAACAAACGGCAGACTTCACCATGACTGACCGTAGCAGCGGGGCGGTCTGGGTGTGCGATGTTACAATCACAGATCCCATCAGCACTAGGGATCCCGAGGCAACGAAAGGCAGGGGATGGGCGGCCCGGGAGCAGGCTGACAAGAAAATCAAACACTACGCTAACCGACCAGAGACCGTGGGGTTCTTCCCTTTGGCTGTAGAAACCTACTGATGCCCGTGTGCGGAAGTTCCGGTCTTCCTCAAGCTACTAGCGGACACGGCGGCTCGGCGATACTTCAACGCCGACTCAAAATCCTTCCAAGCCGCCAAATTCCTGCACCGGTTCTGACAGAGGTGGTCGGTTGCATTGCAGAGGGCCCAATCGGTTGGTTACCTGCTGAAGTCGGGTGAGGCGGCGGCTGCCAAGAACCCACCCGTAGGAGGGATTGGGGCAAAGCTGTGTCAGAATATTATGCTCTAGCCTGTAGTGGGGTGCTCTATAGCGAGTACAACCCTTCTAGGAATTGCTATTTGTATCCTCATTTTCTTGCTAGTGCATCCCCTCTTCTTTCTTCTAAACTTTCTCATGCTATCAGAGCAGGTCGATCCCCTTGGATCGATCCTGTGGGTGGGCTCACCACCTCGTTGCTTCCGCTGCAACTTCCACTACTACCTTCTGTGCCGCACGCCCCGTGGCGTGCGGCAGTTTTTCTTCCCGCCGTGCGCCCCGAGGCGCGCGGCGGTTTTCTGCCCGCCGTGCGCCCCGTGGCGCGCGGCGGTTCTCTGCCCGCTGTGCGCCCCGAGGCGCGCGGCGGGCTTCTACCCCGTCACTCGCCGCGTCGCCCTCGGGAGGCGCTGCGACGGGCGACGGGGACCCGCGCGTCGCCCCCCGTCGCCCGTCGTGGCCTGCGCGCGGCCCGTACAGCCGGCGCGCGGCCCGTACGGGCTGCGCCAGGCCTGCGCGCGGCCCGTACGGGCTGCGCCAGACCCGCGCGCGGCCCGTACGGGCTGCGCCAGACCCGCGCGCGGCCCGTACGGGCTGCGCCAGGCCCGCGCGCGGCCCGTACGGGCTGCGCCAGGCCCGCGCGCGGCTCGGGCCGCCTGCGCGCGGTTCGGGAGGCTGTGCCAGGCCCGTGGGCGGCCCTTTCCTCGCTGCCCCTGCCCTCCCCGCTGTCCCCCGTGCTTCTGCTGGCGCCCCACCCCTCCTACAGCCCGTTCTCCTGAATTAGGGTTTGGGGGTGAGGGGTATGGGGGTGAAACTACTGTGTGCCGTTCCCTGCTCCCCCTCCTCCTCCGTCTCCCTGTGCTGCAGCTGCCGCTGAGGGGGGGTGGACTTGTTGGAGCCGTTGGAGTGGTGCTAAGGGGGGGTGAAAGGGGAGTGGAGCTAGCGGTGTAGCAGCGGGTGTGTGTCAGGAGGGGTGGTACTGTTTGGGGGAGGTCGAGTGGAGGCAGCAGTCTTGTCGTCAGCAGCAGCAGCAGTCCGGAGGCTACAATCTCCGGTAGTCGCCAGTCGCCCGTGGGTCCGTTGCTCGTCTGCCGCTACTTTTAGCCGCGAGGCCAGTTACCCCAGTAGTCCGGAGCGTTGTTCCGGTAGCCACTGAGCCAGCAGCTCGTCTGTGTGTCTGCAGCGTCAGCAGTCGCCTCCCATCTTCTCTCCCCCACAGTCTCTCCTCCTCCTCACTTGCCCTCTGCGATAGCCTCTAGCTTTGCTCATAATTGTGAACTTTAAACTATTGCTTCTTGAACTTGTGCTCAGAATGTGTGGTGACATTGTGATCCACCCTGAGCTTGTACTGCTTTGCTGATTACACCCCACTTTGGCTATGGGGGTGTGTCAGAATATTATGCTCTAGCCTGTAGTGGGGTGCTCTATAGCGAGTACAACCCTTCTAGGGTTTGCTATTTGTATCCTCATTTTCTTGCTAGTGCATCCTCTCTTCTTCCTACTATTTTCTCAAGCTGTATCAGGGAGACTGCTTTGCAGTTATTGAGCCCTTGCTAGAGATCTAGGGGTTAGTGCTGGTGTGATAGATTTGATGTTTGCATTTCAGTACTTGCTTTACCTTGCATGTTTGTACCCTCCTGGTTTATTAATACACGGACCATTAGAGAGAGAGAGAGAGAGAGAGAGAGAGAGAGAGAGAGAGAGAGAGGCTTAGTCCTTAGCCTCTCCAGCCCTCTCTAGCCTAGTATAAAGGCCATAGGATCTAGTCCTGGAGCCTCATTATTTAGTTTCTGGTTCGTTTGCTCTCCTAACCGAGCGGCTCGCGCCGCCCGCCTTCGGCGGCCGGCGCTCGACAGCGCGGCCTTCGGCCGCGCGTGAGGGGTGGCAAGTACAACCATAGCAGCAGTACTACAACTAGCAACGGCATACACACATGGCAGAAAGAACAACCTACTAGCAAGGCCATGGAGCAGGCACAAGCGGAGGCTACATCTGATCCGCGTCATACACAGCAAGCAGCCCCGACATCGTGCGATGCAGCTCACGCACCAGCACCGTGCCTGCGGCGATCGCCCCGGATCCAGTCCCTGTATGCAACAGGCGGCGCAGCCTACGCACGGCCGAACCCAGCGGCCCGACCCCCGCAAGCCCACCCTGCGCGGGCGCAGCCAACACGGGCGCTAGCAGCTCTGCGAGACGATCAGCCGCCACAAGACAATCGTCCCGAGGGCCGCCCACCAGTGAGTCGCCCTGGGAAAGGGTGGCGTGACCATACACCTGCACCAGATGTACAACCCGCACAGCCTCCGAGAGACGCCAGATCTGACCAAGGGTCACCTCGGGAACCGAAACCGTGCGCTGAGGCCCCAGCAGTGCCTGGAACAGGTGCGCCGCACCCACGGACGGGGGAGGGGGATCCACAGGCAGCAAGGACGGATATTGCACAGTCACGGGCCCCCCTGCCGCGGTCAAAAACTCAACCCCCGCCACAGGGGGTACCCACGACAGCGGGCGGGGATTCCCCGGGACGGGGGTTGAGGCGGCGGGAACAGGAGGAGGAGGAACAACCGGAGGGGGACGAGGAGCAGCCTGGGCAGAGGGCGCAGTGGGGGGAGGAGATACTGGGGTCCGAGCAACATGCGTGGAGTTGCTCTGGCTCGCCTGCCCGTTTCGCTCCTCGCGCACAGCAGCAGATACCACGCGCTGCAGGTCAGCCATCGTTACCGGCTGGACATACCCCCAGCCGCCACCCCGCTGACGCGGCCCCCACCAGCCGCCTCAGCCGCCGCGTTGTGCTGCCCAGTTCGCCTGGGAACCGCGGCGACGAGGGGAATTGTGTCGGCGCCGGGACGTCTCGCGCTCGTCCTGCCGCGCAGGGGATTGAGGCCGCTGCTGACGACGACCAGGAGACGGCGGACGCTGTGCAGACGGCACAGGGGGATTTGCCACCGGCGGAGCAATGGGAACGGCCACGGGCGGCGCGGACAGACCCGCCGCCGGCGGAGCAGCCACAGGCGGCGCAAGGGGAGCAGCTTCAGGCGGCGCGGAAGGAGCGGCCACAGGCGGTGCGAGAGGTGCAGCCACAGGAGGCGCGGGAGGCGCAGCCACAGGCGGTGCAGGAACAGATCCCGCCAGCACGGGCAGAGGAGGCACAAGCGCCGGAGACAGTGCAGACGGGGGAGCCGGAGAGCCGGGGAGCGCCGGCTGGTCCAGGACGTCAGTGGTGGCGGACCCCTCCGACTGGGCCAGCACGCCGCCACCAACAATCGCCCGCTCGGCGGCCACAGACGGAGCGGCGGGGTCGGCAGCTTGAAGAGCGCCAAGCGGAGCAGACGCAGCAGTTGGCGCAGCGAGAGGGACAGGCGGCGCGACGGGAGGAAGCACAGGAGCCGGGCGACCACCGTCGCCACGCCGAAACGCCGGCGCCTTGGGAAACGACGGTGCAGGGCGAGGAAGGTTTCCAGCGTATTCTGTCTCGGGCTTCGAAGCAGGAAGTGTTGGGGGGCCCGTCGCCATGGTCCCTGTTCCGGAGGCAGGCGGTGGCATTCCGTACACAACCGACACAGCGCCAGCGCGCATTGGCGAATAATCGGTCGGCCCAGCAATCACCATTGAGGGGCCGTGGAGGACAAGGCAGAGGGAGAGTGGCAGCTAGCGGTGATGGAGGTGGACCGGAGAATGGCTTCCAGGCGGCAGGGAGACAGGCTTTAAGAGCTCTAGAACGGGCTAATGAGGAGGAGGATCGAGGGGACCCTTCTTATAGGGAGGAGCCACTACCACTAAGTGAGAGTGACGAGGAAGAAACTATTGAAGCCGAGAGTCTAAGGCCGGGGAGGCAAGCTGCCGAGCATGAGACGGGTGTGGAAGGAGGAGTGCCAGCGGCGAATCGGACGGCTACGATTCCAACCCCTGGTCAGGACGGAGCACCAAGGCGCCCTCAAAGGAATCAAGCCGCGTGCAATGGCAGTGCAAAAACAAATCAGACACTTTGCCCCCACTATTACTCGCCAGGGGAATTGGCGAAGCGAATAGACCTGTTCGCAAACATCGCTGATTGGGACGTGGTGGCCCTTTGCGACCGTCAGCCATCCCTATCACGCCGATTACCGCCCAATTTATGTCAGCTGTTTTCAATGGCGTTACTCACCCCGCTCCTTCACCTCGCGCGAAATCCGGACTCGGTCGCAAGGTGGCGACTTCTTCTATTTCTACCGCGGCTCACCCTTCGCCAAACGTCGCCAAGAAGACCGAAGTGGCCCGAAGTCAAAGCTCGTCTCAGAGCTTTCCAGCGTGGCGAATGGGAGCGGCTGTATTCTGATGCAATCGAAGCCATCAACACCCCACCGCCTCCACGTCACCAGCCTGATAAGGCGGGAGTTCTCAGCAGGGCAGAGGGCCTGGCAAAACGTGGAAGTCTACGCCGAGCCGTGCTGGCCCTCGAGTCAACCCCGGTCTGCACGCCAGGTCCAGCAATCCTGGGTGAACTCCGCGCGAAACACCCACCAACCGACAACGTGCAGCTGAGCTGGCCAGCAACACCTGGCCCGAACCTGCAGATCAGCCAAGCTGACTTCGCCAAACTTTTGGGTCGATGTGAAAATGGTGTTGGGGCTGGACCGTCCGGAACCGCATTCGAACACCTGCGCGACGCATCCGCAACCAACGCATCGGTCTGCACCCACCTGCATGCCCTAGTTAACACCCTCCTGGCAGGCAAATTACCCGAGCCAGTGGGGGACCTGCTGAGAGCCTCGCGCCTAATCGCGCAGTCCAAACCAGGGGGAGGGGTTCGGCCAATTGCAATTGGCGAATGCCTGACGCGCCTAGCAGCAAAGGCAGCAAAGACAGCAATTGGGGAGGCTGCACGTGACCACTTCCTGCCACTACAGTACGGGGTGGCAGTACCAGGAGGAGCCGAGGCCAACATTCATGTCGCATGTTCCTTCGTCGACTCAAGCGACAGCTGCGTGGTGCTACAGACCGACATTTCAAATGCCTTCAACAACATTTTGCGCCAGGCAATCATTGACGGGTTACGCGACAACAGCGTTTCGTCACTGCTCCCACTGGTCCGCCTTACGTATGGTAACCCGTCGAAGCTGTACCTCGACTCGAACTTTGCTAGCGACCCTCTCAACAGCGAACGCGGCGTGAGGCAGGGGGACCCACTCGGCCCTCTACTGTTTGCAGCTGGGATACACCCAGCCCTTCGCGAAACTGCCGCAGCACACCCCCAGGTAGTCTACTTGGCATATGCGGACGACGTCACATTTTTGGGGGACGACAAGGACACTGTAGTAGCCTTCACTCTCTTCACTAGCAAGCTAGTGCAACTGGGGCTGAAACACAACCCACAGAAATGCGCTGCCTGAAGCACAAACGGCGACGAGTCAACCCAGCTGCCACCAGGGGTCCCGTTTTCGAAGAACGGGATACGCCTACTCGGCAGCTTCCTGGGTCCGGCAGCTGGCGCCGCCAAATTCCTAGCGGGGTAACTAGATGAAATGGCGAAGCCGCTGCCGCTCTTAGAACGGGCCGACCCCCAAGTAGCCTCCCTGCTCCTGACCCGCTGCATTTCTAGACGAGTAGCTTACCTCACTAGAACCACGCCGCTAAATCTCCTTCCACGAGACACCTGGGCACAGTGGGGAAGAGACCTTCTAGCCGCGCTCTTGACATCATGCGGGATTAGAGTTCCCACCTGTAGCACGGAGTAGACGAGAGTGTGGGCGCAGGCATCGCTTCCATCATCCCTAGGCGGGCTGAGAATCACGGACCCACTTGTCGAAGGCGTCTACGGCTTCGTAGCCAGCTTCACACAGGCAGCTCTGTTCTTTTCCTCACTCACGCTAGCACCAGACACCGCGCTGACACGAGCACACAGCCACATGATTCTGCCCCGTGACAACACCGCCCCGCTCCATTCCTGGCTCACGGAGTGCGAGACATCCATGCCCACAGACGCACGCGAAATGCTCTCGCGGTCGGAAATCAAGCTGCAGCACACGTTAGCCCTCAAAGTCCAGGGTACTAGGTACGCGGTGCAAGTCCAGGATACGAGGCGAATGAAGCTGAACCTGCTCTACGGTCACACACAGAGGATGTACTCACTCACAGGCTACGGGACAGGGGACTGGCTGACGGCGGTACCAGTGGCAACGTCAAGACGCATAGGCCCGGTACATTTCAGCAATGCCGTTCGTTTCCGGCTGGGTCTCCCCTTCTCCACTCCAAAGCAGTGCGATTGCACAGACCACACCACTATCACAGACCCGCGCCTCCCCAACCACCTCTTCCGCTGCGGCACGGGCAAACACCGTACGAATACCCACAACGAACTCCGCGACGCATGCATCAGCATGGCGAAAGACGCGGGATTCATTGTTCACAGGGAAACCAACGTCTACTGCCCCATCGAGGAGCAAACGGCAGATTTTACCATGACGGACAGAAGTAGTGGGGCGGTGTGGGTGTGTGATGTGACAGTCACGGACCCTATTAGCACTAGGGACCCAGAGGCGCTGAAAGGCAGGGGATGGGCAGCCCGGGAGCAGGCAGACAAGAAGATAAAGCACTACGCAAACCGGCCAGAGACAGTGGGCTTCTTCCCACTCGCAGTAGAGACCTACGGCTGCCCTTGCGCTGAGGTTCTTGCGTTCTTGAAACTCCTTACGGACACGGCGGCTCGGCGATACTTCAACGCCGACTCAAAATCATTTCATGCCGCGAAGTTCCTGCACCAGTTCAGGAAGAGGTGGTCGATTACACTGCAGCGGGCCCAATCCGTGGGCCTCATGATCAAACTAGGGGAGGCGGCTGCTGCAGAGAACCCACCTGTAGGAGGGATAGGGCAGGAATTATACCTGGGGGACTGTTTTACAGTCCTGGAGCCTCTTCTTGAGCTGTAGGTGACTTAGAGGGATTGGTTAGCCTAGGCTCCTTTGCATGTTAGCAACCTGCTGTTGTTCTTTGTATGTGTGTACCCTTCTAACTTATCAATATACGGACCATTAGAGAGAGAGAGAGAGAGAGAGAGAGAGAGAGAGAGAGAGAGAGAGAGAGAGAGAGAGAGAGAGAGAGAGAGAGAGAGAGAGAGAGACCTGTTCGCAACCATCTCGAGCTGGGACATCGCGGCACTCTGCGACAGTCGCCAGCCTTCGCTGACACGCCGTTTACCGCCTAATCTGTGCCAACTGTTCTCGCTGGCGCTACTGACACCATTACTCCACCTATCGCGAAACCCCGAATCCGAGGAGGGTTGGCGCCTGTTGCTGTTCCTCCCGCGCCTAAAACTTTGCTAGACCTCGCCACAACAACCGAACTGGCCGGGGGTCAAAGCCCGGCTCCGAGCCTTTCAGCGCGGCGAATGGGGGCAGCTGTACCAGGACGCGGTCGACGCGGTCAACACACCCCCACCGCCACGACACCAGCCTGACACGACCGGAGTCATCAGCCGAGCCGAGGGCCTGGCGAAACGTGGCAGCCTACGCAGGGCCGTGCTGGCCCTGGAGTCAACACCCGTCTGCACCCCGAGCCAGGAAATATTGGAAGAGCTGCGTCAGAAGCACCCGCCAGCAGTACCCGAAGCAGTGACCTGGCCCGAGCCACCAAAGTCAAAACTGTCCATCACCCATGCTGAGTTCGCCAAGATTCTTGGAAGGTGCGAGAACGGGGTAGGGGCCGGACCTTCAGGTACGACATTTGAGCACCTACGCGACGCGGCGATCACCAACGGAATGGTCAGCACCCATCTGCACGCCTTGGTCAATACCATGCTCAGAGGGAATTTGCCAGGCCCGGTCGCGAAAATCCTGACTGCGTCACGGCTCATAGCTCTGGCCAAGCCTGGGGGAGGAGTCCAGCCAATCACGATAGGCGAATGCTTGACAAGGCTGACAGCCAAGGCAGCCCAGATAGCCATGGGAGAAGCTGCCCGCGAACATTTCCTGCCAATTCAGTACGGCGTGGCAGTGCCAGGTGGAGCAGAGGCGGTAATACACGCAGCCAGGGCATTCTTGGATGCCCGTCCCGACAGCCTGGTCCTCCAAGCCGATATTTCGAATGCATTCAACAGCATTTCGCGACGTGCCATCGCCACTGCATTACAGGAGCCCAGACTCTCGCCACTACAGCCATTTGTAAAACTGACTTACGGTAACCCGTCGCAGCTGTTCCACGACACTGATTTCAACTGCGAACCGCTGCAAAGTGAACGGGGCGTTCGGCAGGGAGATCCACTAGGCCCGTTACTGTTTGCAGCGGGAATACACCCCATGCTCAGTGAGATTGCAGAGGCACACCCCAACGTGCTCTGCTTGGCGTATGCGGACGATGTCACCTTCCTGGGTGACACTTCGTGCACTGTAGCAGCTTTCACAGACTTCACAGCCAAGCTGGCACGCTTGGGCCTGACGCATAATCCGCAGAAATGTGCGGCCTGGAGCTCGATCACAGTCATACAAGCACAACTCCCACCCGGGGTGCCGGGTGCAAAGGACGGGGTACGGCTCCTGGGTAGCTACGTGGGGACGGACGCTGGAGTAGCTAAGTTCCTAACCGAATAGCTAGCCGAGATGACAAAGCCGCTGCCACTAATAGAACGAGCTGACCCCCAAGTAGCCGCGCTGCTACTCACGCGATGCATTTCTAGACGAGTAGCCTACCTCATTAGAACGACACCGCTCCACCTACTCCCCCGCGACACCTGGAGCCAGTGGGGTCGGGACCTGCTCACTACCTTACTCACCTCCTGCGACATCCGCATGCCAACGTGCCGCACCGAGCAAGCGCGTGTGTGGGAGCAGGCGTCGCTGCCCACATCGCTTGGTGGCATCGGCATTACAGACCCGCTCGTTGAAGGGATCTACGGTTTCACAGCGAGTTTCACTCAAGCGGCGCTGTTCTTGTCCTCCCTGGCGCTAGCACCGGATAATGCTTTGACGATCGCTCAGAACCACATGCTGCTGCCAAGAGACGACAGCACGCCGATGCATTCTTGGCTCAAGGAGTGCGAAGCGGCTCTGCCACTAGACGCGCGCGAGATCCTGGAGAAGGAGCGGCTGGAGCGATCGGATATTAGGCTACAACATGTGCTCGGGCTAAAGGTGCACGGAAGCAGATACGCTGTACAGGTCCAGGCAACCAGGCGCATGCGGCTGAACCCACTCTCAGGCCACACGCAGCGTATGTTTTCGCTGACAGGGTATGGCACCGGCGATTGGCTGACCGCGATCCCCATTGAACCCACCAGACGGGTAGGCCCCGTACACTTCGCCAACGCCGTTCGATTCCGCCTGGCCCTCCCCTTTTCAACCCCTAAGAACTGCGACTGCGCGGACAAGACCGCCATCACTGATCCCCGCCTGCCGAACCATCTCCTCCGCTGCGGCTTGGGCAAACACCGCATCAACACCCACAACGAGCTACGTGATGCGTGCATTAGCATGGCGCAGCACGCAGGTTTCATTGTTCACGGCGAGTCGGCCGCCCATTGCCCTATCGAGGAACAAACCGCCGACTTTACCATGACGGATAGAAGCAGTGGGGCGGTTTATGTCTGTGATGTCACCGTCACGGACCCCATAAGCACGAGGGACCCAGAGGCGCAGAAAGGCAGGGGATGGGCGGCACGGGAACAAGCGGATAAGAAAATCCAGCATTACGCCAACCGGCCGGAGACGGTTGGCTTCTTCCCATTGGCAGTCGACACCTATGGCTGCCCATGCGCGGAAGTACCAACCTTCCTGAAGCTACTTGCAGACACGGCGGCTCGGCGCCACTTTAACGCCGACTCTAAATCCTTTTATGCCGCCAAGTTCCTGCACCAGTTTCGGCAGCGATGGTCAGTGGCCCTTCAGAGGGCCCAATCAGTGGGTCTTCTACTCAAGTTGGGCGAGGCGGCAGCAGCAGAGAACCCGCCTGTAGGGGGTATTGGTCAAGAGTTACACCTAGGGGACTGTTTTGCGGTGGTAGAGCCCATCTTGGAGCTCTAGGGGAATAGTGAGTAGGAATTGGTGCTTTGTTTGTTTGTTTGTTATATACATACACTGCATGCTTGTACCTTGCTGCTTGTACCTGGCTGCCATATCAATACAAGGACCATTAGAGAGAGAGAGAGAGAGAGAGAGAGAGAGAGAGAGAGAGAGAGAGAGAGAGAGAGAGAGAGAGAGAGAGAGAGAGAGGGTTTAGGGTTCGTTTAGAGACCCTAAACCATTATTCATTTCAGTGTTCGTGCGCTCTCCCAACCGAGCGGGAGAGAGAGGAGAGAGAGAGATAGAAGCCTAGTCCTTAGCCTCCCCTGCCCTCTCCAGCCTAGTATAAAGTGTTAGAGACTAAGGACGGAGTCTATGAAGATTAGGGGCTGAAATATCTCAAAATCGTCAACTACAATTCTGGACAGAAAAGTCGTCGTCACAAGAAACGTCGTCGACGAAAGGTCCACTGTTAGAATTCTTCCAAACTCGAGTATGTTGTAGCCCTTGACCGTGGCTATCTTTCCCAATTTGAATAGTATCAAAATATGGAGTATAACTCGAGTTATGAACTTCGGCGCACTAGGGGGTATGCTGCCATAGAAAACGTAACTCAATCACAATTATCTCACAAGTTCACACAAGAAAGTTAGAGTAGCAATTAAACCAGGTAGGAGGGGATAAGGAGGACGAGAGGGAAGGTCCCAAGGGAGTCCCCAACCAAGGACACCCCATACCACACAATTCCCCTCTCTATAGGCACCCCAACTTTGACATTTGTCACTTTCCCAACTCATGCCATCCACCTCACCCAACTTGGCCACACTTGCCAACCTGGTTTGGCACCTCCCAACCACTTGGCAGCATCTACAGTGATGTTGACGAATTTCCCAACCCCCAAGAGTCTGTACTCCTTATGGAGTCAACACCACAACTTCCCATAGTCACCACAACCAAATATCAAAAGCATACGAACTTCCAACGTTCGTAACTTTCTTGTTCGTGCTCCGATTGAAGCGATACTTGGTTCGTCGGAAAGCTCTTGAGCAGAGGAGTCACTTCAGATATCTGCTCAAGCCAAATAACATTCACACACACTCAGAAAAACCAAACCGCACAAAACACAAATTCTTGCATACGCTCACACCACGCATGCAACGCACGAACACATGATGGGAGGCAGACAGACGTGAATGCATATGATTGCATCACACAACAAACTCCCCCTCTGGCTGCCAACCATCATCCCACATGTCATAGCTCAAGCATGCACCCTCAATGCACACTCATCCCAGCAAGCTTCATGCCCTTCCAATGTTCAGATTCTGCCAGGCGCTTGGTGAGAATGTCAGCCGCCTGCTGATGGGTCTTCACAATCTCCAGCCGCACCTCCTTGTCCAGGAGCCTCCTCACCCAGTGCCACTTTGGCCTGACGTGCTTTGTCAGGCCATGAAGACAAGCGTTCTTAGCAAGCTTCACAGCCGACTCGTTGTCACAGAAAATCACAGTCTGCTCCTTCTGGCACACTCCAATCTCCTCCAACAAACGCCTCAGCCACACCACCTCCTTAGCCCCATGATGCAGGGCCATGTACTCTGTCTCACACGAGGACAGCCCCACCTCGTTCTGCTTCTTGCTGCGCCAGCTTACTGCACCACCTCCAAACAGGCACACATAGCCTCCAATGCTGGTGCCATCCGCCTTCACAGAGTTGAAGCTAGCGTCGGTGTAGCAGGTCAGGAGCATCTCCCCCTTGCCCAAATCAGCTGCACCCCTCTGCAGCCTCTGTCGCACAGCACTGTACTCCAAGCCCACTGATGCCGTAACACTCACATAGCGGACCAACCTCTTGGCCGCTTCCAGCTGCTCATGACTGGGGCGTGAAACCACACTTGCAAGCCTGGATGTAGCAAAGGTAATGTCAGGCCGCGTGTGGTTTGCCGCATAATTGAGTGCACCCACCATGGAATGAAACAGCTTCCTGTCACTCTCACCCACCACCTCCTCATCAGCACAGGGCTCCACAGTGAACCCCGAAGGCAGTGGGGTGGCTGGCTTTCCTCCATCTTGCAGCCCATACTTCTCAGCCAGCCCCTCACAATACTTTCTCTGGTGCAACCTCAACACTCCCTTGTCAAGGTCCCTCTCCACATGCATGCCCAAATAGTACTTCACATCTCCCATCTTGGAGCACTTAAACTGCATCTCCAGCATCTCCTCCACATGCTCAATCATTGCAGACGACTTAGAGAAGAGCAGGATATCGTCCACATACACCAGGAGCATGAGAAACTGCTCCTTCTCTTGCAGCAGGAACAAGCTGTGATCACACTCACTCTTCTTGAAACCCCCAGCCAGCAGTGTCTCCTCCAACTTGTGGTACCATGCGCGAGGAGCCTGCTTAAGGCCATAGATGGCCTTCTTGAGCCTGCACACCCTGCCACTCCCATCATCCAACCCCTCAGGCTGCAGCATGTACAGCTCCTCTAGGATGATCCCATTGAGGAAAGCAGTTGTGATGTCCATCTGCTTGATCCTCCATCCACGGTTTGCAGCCATTCCCAACATCACCCTTAGTGTAGTCCCTTTCCCCACAGGAGCAAAGATCTCGTCAAAGTCCTTCCCCTTTGTTTGCTGAAACCCCTTTGCCACAAGCCTTGACTTGTAGCGGGTCAGCTCCCCATCAGGTCCGTACTTGTGCCTGAAGATCAGCTTGGAAGAAATGGCCTTCTTCCCAGGAGGAAGCTCACACAGCTCCCACGTTTCATTCTCCAGCAGAGAGTCATACTCCTCCTTCACACTCTGCTTCCACTTCTCAGCATCGGGCCCACTCAAGGCCTCAGCTAGCGTCTTGGGCTCAGGGACGGCTGCCCAGTAGTAGTGTGCTATCTCTTCCTCATCACACTGCTCAGCCACACTCCCAGCCCGTACCACCTTTGGCTTGCCAAAGCTCGGATAGGTCAGCCGGTTAGGAGGGCGCACATCCCTCCTAGAACGGTCAGCCGGACGTGCGGCACCTTGTGGAGCATCTTGCTGCTGCTGCTGCTGCTGCTGCTGCTGCTCCTCCACCTCAGGTTCTCCCCCATCCTCAGTCACCCCAGAAATCTCCTTCTCTGAGACAGTGACCTGCACTTGCCTCGAAGGCCGCTGCACCTCATCGGCCTCAATGATCAGCGGTGTAGTAGGAAGCTTCTGCTGCTGCTGCTTCCACTCCTTGTAGTACAAGGACTCAAGGAACTTCACATCCCTTGACACAGTCAGCTGCTGTCTGGTCAAGTCCCATATCAACCAGCCCTTATGATCCTTAGCAAGCCCCAAGTGTACTCCCCATCTCCCACTAGCCTCCAACTTTCCCCTCTTCTCCTTAGGCACATGAAACACCACCATGCAGCCGTAGGCTCTCAGCATGTTGACTGCTGGTGCACTCCCATACCACTTGGTGTAGGGGACCCACTGCTTGTCCCCCACAGTCGCCAACACCCTGTTCTTCACAAGGGCGACCTGCCGCAGTGCAGTCACCCAAAACGGATCCGGCAGCCCTGCACGCCCAAGGAGAGTGCGAGCACCTTCTTGCAGGGTCCGGTTGAACCGCTCAGCCACGCCGTTCTGCTGAGGGTTGTAGGGCACTGTGAGCTGATGCTGGATCCCCTTCTTCTTCAGCACCGACTCAAAATCAGCACCAATGAACTCTCCCCCATTGTCGGTGCAAATCACCTTCACCTTGTGTCCGCTCTCCCTTTGAGCTCTCGGCATCCACTCCTTAAGAACAGCCGCTGCCACTTCCCCCTTAGTCTTGAGAGGGTACACCCACACGGCACGCGTGTGGTCGTCCACAATGGTTAAGAAGTGGCGGCTGCCCGAGAGAGAAGGGGCCCTCGTAGGGCCCACCACATTCATGTGCACAAGTGCAAGCGGGGCCTTAGCTGGTACCGTGCCGCTGCTGAACGGAAACTTTGTGAACTTGGTCTCAAGGCATGTAGGGCAGCTCCCAATCTCCTTTGCTGCCCCCTTCACCTCCAACCCCTTCAAGCTCCCATCCTTCACTAACATCTGCAGCATAGGAAAATTCACATGACACAGCCTTTCGTGCCACGTTTCCCAATCAGCCTCACCACTCCTAGATGAAGCCTTTGCCCATGCAGGTGTCGCATCCACACCAGCAAGCACCTCAACATGTGGCTGCTGTGGCTGCTGCACCTTCTTGACTGCATCTAGGGTCCCATCGGTTGGTGCAGTCTCCTCTCCTCCCGCAGTTGTTTTAGCCGTTGCTGCTGCCGCTGCCGTTGCTTGTGGTTTCCCATTCCAAGGGATGATGGGCAGCTGCCATAGGTCCTTGATGCAGCTGCTCTTCTCCTCCAAATCCCACAGCAGCAATTTCCCAAGCTTTGCACGGCAGCTGGTTGGGCCGAAGGTCACTTTGGCCTTGCTTTTCTGCAGCCGGCGCACAGAGAGGAGGTTAGCGGACAAACCTTCAACCAGCAGTACATTCCCCAGCCCCACAAGGCCCCCGTTGGCTCCCATTACCTTAGCATTCCCAACACCAATCACAGGGAGCAAAGCGCCTGAAGCGGCAGCCACAAACTTGATCTTCCCAGGGGGCTTTACCTCGTCAAGCAAATCTGCCCGTGGGGTCATGTGACTTGTGCAACCTGAATCTATCACCCAGTGAGTGAGGGGGTGCATCACAACCTTCCCAACTGAGCCCACATCACCCTCACTCCCTTTCACATCCTCAACCATGAGGAGCATCCCAGGGTTGGCTTTACCTTGTGCACCATCACCTTGTGCACCTGAACCTTGCATAGCGCCACCTCGTGCACGTTCACCACTTGGCGGCTTCATGCCTGGGGGCGCCCATCCCTCAGGCCGGCTGAAACACTTGAACCAAGGGTGTCCAGCCTTCTTGCAGTACCAGCACGCACCCTCCATTTGGGTGCTCCCCCTGCCACCAGAGCTCCCATGCCCCTCATTGTAGTCACCTCGGCCTCTCCCTCTGCCAAAGCCTCTCCCACGGCCTCGGCCTCTCCCTCCCCCTCTTCCTCTGCTGCCTCCTGCAGCTCCATACCCCTCAGCAGTTTTGTTGGCAGCACCACCACCCGTGTGGCGCCTGCGGAAGTCCTCCTGCAGAATCTGCTGCCGTAGCCACTCAGGTGTCCACTGGTCCTGCTGAGTGTTGAGGGTGGGGATGAGGTTGTCCCATGAGTTGTCGAGCACCGAGATAATCTTGGTGCACTGCTGCATCTGCGACACATTGCTGCCCGCCGCTGCCATCCTTGCATAGGTGTCCTTGATCTTGTCAAGGACCGGCTTCACATCATCGCCCGGTCGCATGGAGAGGGCAGCCAGCTCCTTCTCCAACACAATCACCATCGGCAGCGTGTTGGGCTGAATCACGTCGCGCAGTAGCTTCCACGCCTTTGGTCCGGAATCATCCAACTCCACCAAATCCTTGATGTGTTGGAACATATCGTTGTTGACCGATTGAAGGATTAGGTCGTACAGCACCGCGCTTTTCTCAATCCACCGATCGCGGGCGTCGCCTTCCTCCGGCATCTTCTCTTCTCCCATCGCAAATTTCAGCAGCTTGTAGCGCTTAAATGCACTCCGCATCCGCCCGCTCCATTCCTCATAGTTGGAGCCATCCAATGCCTCGATCTTGGATGGTGGCGGCTCATTCCTCTTCTCAGCTGCATCTCCACTCCCTTGACTCATTTCCTCTGCTCCCAAGCACAGGTTCCAGCTCCCCCCTTGCTGTCCACACCGAAGTCCCACTCAATTTCCACAAGTGTCGGCGCCAACGAAATTTCGGCAGAGTTTCCCCTTAGCGGAAGTCACATGCAACCTCCAGAACTCCACTTAGGCACGCCCACAGGCCATGGTGGGTCTAGGAGGGTCTTCGCACTTCAGTAGACTCTCCACAAAGTCCTTAATCAGCTCTGATACCACTTGTTAGAGACTAAGGACGGAGTCTATGAAGAGTAGGGGCTGAAATATCTCAAAATCGTCAACTACAATTCTGGACAGAAAAGTCGTCGTCACAAGAAACGTCGTCGACGAAAGGTCCACTGTTAGAATTCTTCCAAACTCGAGTATGTTGTAGCCCTTGACCGTGGCTATCTTTCCCAATTTGAATAGTAACGAAATATGGAGTATAACTCGAGTTATGAACTTCGGCGCACTAGGGGGTATGCTGCCATAGAAAACGTAACTCAATCACAATTATCTCACAAGTTCACACAAGAAAGTTAGAGTAGCAATTAAACCAGGTAGGAGGGGATAGGGAGGACGAGAGGGAAGGTCCCAAGGGAGTCCCCAACCAAGGACACCCCATACCACACAATTCCCCTCTCTATAGGCACCCCAACTTTGACATTTGTCACTTTCCCAACTCATGCCATCCACCTCACCCAACTTGGCCACACTTGCCAACCTGGTTTGGCACCTCCCAACCACTTGGCAGCACCTACAGTGATGTTGACGAATTTCCCAACCCCCAAGAGTCTGTACTCCTTATGGAGTCAACACCACAACTTCCCATAGTCACCACAACCAAATATCAAAAGCATACGAACTTCCAACGTTCGTAACTTTCTTGTTCGTGCTCCGATTGAAGCGATACTTGGTTCGTCGGAAAGCTGTTGAGCAGAGGAGTCACTTCAGATATCTGCTCAAGCCAAATAACATTCACACACACTCAGAAAAACCAAACCGCACAAAACACAAATTCTTGCATACGCTCACACCACGCATGCAACGCACGAACACATGATGGGAGGCAGACAGACGTGAATGCATATGATTGCATCACACAACAGAAAGGCAGGGGATGGGCGGCACGGGAACAAGCGGATAAGAAAATCCAGCATTACGCCAACCGGCCGGAGACGGTTGGCTTCTTCCCATTGGCAGTCGACACCTATGGCTGCCCATGCACGGAAGTACCAACCTTCCTGAAGCTACTTGCAGACACGGCGGCTCGGCGCCACTTTAACGCCGACTCTAAATCCTTTTATGCCGCCAAGTTCCTGCACCAGTTTCGGCAGCGATGGTCAGTGGCCCTTCAGAGGGCCCAATCAGTGGGTCTTCTACTCAAGTTGGGCGAGGCGGCAGCAGCAGAGAACCCGCCTGTAGGGGGTATTGGTCAAGAGTTACACCTAGGGGACTGTTTTGCGGTGGTAGAGCCCATCTTGGAGCTCTAGGGGAATAGTGAGTGGGAATTGGTGCTTTGTTTGTTTGTTTGTTATATACATACACTGCATGCTTGTACCTTGCTGCTTGTACCTGGCTGCCATATCAATACAAGGACCATTAGAGAGAGAGAGAGAGAGAGAGAGAGAGAGAGAGAGAGAGAGAGAGAGAGAGAGAGAGAGAGAGGGTTTAGGGTTCGTTTAGAGACCCTAAACCATTATTCATTTCAGTGTTCGTGCGCTCTCCCAACCGAGCGGGAGAGAGAGGAGAGAGAGAGAGAGAAGCCTAGTCCTTAGCCTCCCCTGCCCTCTCTAGCCTAGTATAAAGGCCCTAGGATCTAGTCCTAGAGCCTCATTATTCATTTCAGTGTTCGTGCGCTCTCCCAACCTGGTCGGCTGCGTCCAGGCACGAATCACGGTGGCGATCCTGGAACGTCTCAGGGGGAATTGCAGGAAGTGACGAATGCGCGAGAACCTGTATCAGGAGTAGAGCGTGAAAGCTCTCCGCGAGGCGGAGGAGCTGGGCGAGAGTCGCCTCTGGAACACGGGACTGTGGAGGCTGTAATGCCTGCGCCAGAAACTGAAACGGCTCCTCGAGGGCAGGAGTTACTGAACCGCCAACTCCGGGATGAGGATACTGCGCTCCCCCTCCCGCTGCCACAAATTCAACTCCCGCCACAGGCGGAACGGGCGGGAGACGAAGCCGAGACCCAGGAAGAGGAGCAGAGGCAGAAACAAGGGGAGCCGACGGGGCCAGACTCTGATGAGGGACGGGTGCAGCTGGCGGCGGATCCACAGGAAGTACGGCCTGTCGAGGAGCAGCACGTGCCACGACTGCGTGAGAGCTGCCCTGGGTTAGGGCAGCCCTCTCCTCACGCACCGCAGTTGACACCGCCCGCTGCAGATCCGCCATCCTCACGGGCGGATCGTACGCCCCACCACCTCCGCGACCGCGGGGACCCCACCAGCCACCGCGGCCGCCGTGGTTCGCGTGCCATTGGGCCTGCTGATGCGGGCGATGGGGAGAATTGCGCCGGCGCCGTGAGGATTGACGATCCTGCTGGGGAGCGGGAGAATGAGGGCGAGATGGGCGCCGGCCGGGTGACGGCGGGCGAGGCAGCTGCGCCGCTGGAGTAGTCGGTGGCACAACAGGTGCAGCCGGACCCCCAACCAGCGGGGCAACCAACAGGGCCGGGCCGCCAGTGGTGGCGGACGCCGCCTGCGGGGATGAGACAGAGGCAGGAGTCGGCAACTCAGGCGCGGCGACAAGTCCCGCAGGCAAGGGAGGCGAGGGGTCGGCGACAGACTCCGGCGGTGCAGCAGGGAACGCCTGGGGTTCAGCCGGCACAGCCGGGGCGGATGGAACAGCAGCAGCAGTTGCAGGAGTCTGAGCGACAACAGTCGCAGTTGAACCAGGCGCATCCGCGAAAAGGAGAGCCGCAGGTCCGGGGTGAGGAATCTTTTCTGAGGATGTTGTCGAGGGCTTCGGAGCCGGAGGCAGAGAGGGCTTCGTCGCCGTGGTCGCCCTTTTGGGCTCAGACTGAGGCTTGGCGACCATTGCCGACCAGGAGGCAACAAGCTCTGGCGTCGGCTCAGGCGCACCGGCAATCACCATCGCGTGGACGAGGGGCTCAGGGAGAGAGGAACCAGACGGTCAGCGGAGCAGGCGGAGGACCGGAGAACGGGTATCAGGCGGCAGGGCGTCGGGCTTTAATAGCACTGGTAGCAGCTAATGCAGTCGAGGAGAGAAATGACCCTTCTTATACCATGGAAGAGCAGCCAGAGAGCGAAAACGAAGAAGGGGATGGAGCTGAGATAACAAGGGTAGGAACGGGGAGGAGAGGACCAGGTGCAGCCAATTTACCCACGGCAGAAACGGAAGGGCAAGCGGGGCCGTCCGCTGCTGATCGAACGGCTGTGAATCCAACTCGGCAGCAATCAGCGAGATCGAGCCGCGCTCGAAGAAATCGGACCGCGTCATTTCGCCATGCGTCAGTCGCGACCCCGCAGCTGCCCCAGTATTTTTCGCCAGTAGAGTTGGCAGAGAGGAGCGACATGTTCGCTGACATCGCGAACTGGGATATTTCCGCCCTCTGCGACAGTCGACAACCGCCACTATCAAGACGATTACCGCCAAACTTGTGCCAGCTATTTTCGCTGGCACTCCTGACACCCCTACGCCACCTCTCGCGAAACCCTGATTCCGAGGCTGGCTGGCGACTACTCCTTTTTCTCCCGCGTCTAACCCTTCGCCAAGCTTCGCCAAAGCACCCAAACTGGCCGCAAATCAAGGCCCGGCTCCGGGCTTTCCAGCGTGGCGAGTGGACGCAGCTCTACCAAGACGCAGTAAACGCGGTCAACACCCCTCCACCCCCGCGTCACCAACCCGACGTGACAGGTGTATTGAGTCGAGCGGAGGGGTTGGCCAAACGTGGCAGTTTGCGCCGAGCCGTGCTGGCGCTCGAGTCAACACCCGTCTGCACGCCAAGTCCAGAAATCCTGGCCGAACTCCGACAGAAACACCCGCCAGCAGGGACGGAGTCGCTGACCTGGCAAGCAACCGACACCCGTCCCCTAGGCATTTCCCACGCTGAATTTGTGAAGCTTCTTGGGCGTTGCGATAATGGCGTGGGGGCCGGACCATCAGGCACCTCATTTGAGCATCTTCGCGACGCGGCAATAACCAATGCATCCGTCTGCACCCATCTGCACGCCCTGGTAAACACAATTCTGGGTGGAAACCTCCCAGCCTCGGTGGCAGACCTGCTGACAGCATCTCGACTCATTGCCCTGGCCAAACCTGGAGGAGGTGCCCGACCAATCGCGATCGGCGAATGCCTGACGCGTCTGGCTGCCAAGGCTGCGCTGTCGGTCATGGGCGAAGCTGCACGTGAACACTTCCTACCCCTACAGTACGGCGTGGCGGTGCCAGGAGGGGCGGAAGCGATAATTCATGCCGCCCGAACGTACGTGGACGGCCACCCCAACAGCCTGGTACTGCAGATCGACATTGCGAACGCTTCAACAGCATTTCGCGACAATCCATCGCAGCAGCGTTACAAGAACCAACCCTATCGCCACTGCTCCCATTGGTTCGCCTGACCTACGGTAACCCATCGTGGCTCTACCTAGATTCGAACTTTGCGAGCGAGCCCCTGTGAAGTGAACGAGGCGTTCGCCAGGGTGATCCACTGGGCCCACTCCTTTTTGCGGCGGGAATCCACCCCACACTTCGCAACACTGCAGCAGCACACCCTGAGGTGCTTTGCTTGGCGTATGCTGACGACGTGAGATTTGTGGGTGAACCACGTGCAACTGTAGCTGCCTTCACCCACTTCACCACGAGGTTGGAATTACTGGGTTTAAAACATAACCCTCAAAAGTGTACCGCATGGAGCGCTACCGCAGGCGATCCACCTGAGCTGCCTCCAGGGGTGCCGTTCTCCAAGGACGGCGTCCGTCTGTTGGGAAGTTTTCTAGGGGCGGCCGACGGGACAGCCACGTTCTTGGCGGGGCAGCTGAGGGACTTGGCGAAACCATTGCCACTCATCGAGCAGGCCGACCCAAAGGTCGCCTCGCTGCTGATAACGCGCTGCATCTCCCGGCGCGTGGCGTATCTCACCCGGGATACATGGACTGAGTGGGGCCGTGACCTCCTCTTGGCACTACTCACCTCGTGCAACATTCGCGCTCCGGCGGGCAGAGCAGAGCAGTCACGGGTCTGGGCTCAGGCGTCACTGCCCCCCTCTCTCGGTGGAATAGGCATTACAGACCCCCTCGTCGAGGGAGTTTACGGTTTCGTCGCAAGCTTCACGCAAGCGGCGCTGCTCTTCTCCGCGCTCGCGCTAGACCCAAACTCCGCACTATCTCAAGCGCGCTGCCATATGCTCCTGCCCAGGGACGAAAGCACACTGCTTCACTCCTGGCTCGCCGAATGCAAAACCGCCCTGCCTTCTGACGCGCGAGAGCTGCTAGAACGGGAACATATTAAGCGGATGGATGTCAAGCTGCAGCATGCCCTCGCCCTACAGGTCCACGGTAGCCGCAACGCCGTGCAAGTACAGGCGACGAGAGACATGGAGCTGAATCCGCTTGCGGGCCATACGCAGCGGATGTTTTCTCTAACGGGCTATGGCACGGGGGACTGGCTGACGGCGATACCCATCGAGGCAACGAGGCGCATAGGACCGGCACACTTTGCCAATGCCGGCAGATTCAGCCCTTCTCCACCCCCAAAAACTGTGACTGCTCAGACCACACCAAAATCACGGATCCCCGCCTCCCAAACCACCTCCTTCGATGCGGCACCGGCAAGCATCGCATCAACACCCACAACGAGCTCCGCGATGCGTGCATTAGTATGGCGCAGGATGCGGGTTTCATAGTCCACAGCGAGTCGGCCGCCCTTTGTCCCATCGAGGAGCAGACGGCCGATTTCACTATGACCGACAGGAGCAGTGGGGCGGTTTGGGTGTGTGATGTAACTGTGACAGACCCCATCAGCACTCGGGACCCCAGGCGCAGAAAGGCAGAGGATGGGCGGCCAGAGAGCAGGCGGACAAGAAGATTCAACACTATGCGAGCAGACCTGAGACAGTCGGCTTCTTTCCACTGGCGGTGGAGACTATGGTTGCCCATGTGCAGAGGTCCCCGTCTTCCTTAAACTCCTCGCAGATACGGCGGCTCGGCGCCACTTCAACGCCGATTCTAACTCCTATCATGCCGCCAAGTTTCTGCATCAGTTCAGGCAGCGGTGGTCAGTTGCTCTACAGAGAGCACAGTCGGTGGGCCTCCTCATGAAATTGGGTGAGGTGGCAGCAGCTGAGAACCCCCCGGTGGGGGGGATTGGACATGAACTACACCTAGGGGATTGTTTTGCAGTTTTGGAGCCACTGGTGGAACTCTAGAGGGATTAGGCTAGAACTTGCATGATTCTGAACGTGTTTGTGTCTACCTTTCTGCCATATCAATGTACGGACCATTAGAGAGAGAGGGTGGGACAGAGAGAGAGAGGCTGCGGCTGAGGTGGCGACTGCGGGAGTGGCTGTTGATGCTGCAGTGGTGACTGGGACAGGGGAGGCTGCGGTTGAGGAGGCTTCAAAAGCAACAATGGCGAGGTCTGGGGAGGTTGAGACGACCACGGCGCCTGTGGCATCTGCGGAACATGGCGTGGCAGGCGAGTCTGTTGCTGTGTTCACCAGAACGCCTGCTGCTGTCATGGCCGAAGAAACGCGGGTGCTCGACCAGGAGGGGAATGGTACACCGGCTCCCGGGAACCGCGAAGCCACTCACGCCGCCCGCGGGAGGACCGTGAGGCTCCGCGCCCGACCAGCACCGCGGCGGCTTGGAGCAACGCTGACGCCTGGTCGCCCGGGACCCCTCCTGGGCTGGCTCCTACAAACGTCGTCGCCACAAGGGCAAGTGCCTCCGTCGTCATTGTTATAGTCACAATAGGCTTGAATGTGCCTAAAACGAAAGATAGAGAGCACAGACGGATTTCTGCACAGTGGCTTCAAACGTTGATAGCGTTCTGCTCACAGCTGCAAATGACTTGATTCAAATTGGATCTGGAGCGTCTTTAAGTTGTCTACAATTAGCAATTTAGATTGCACGATTTGATAAAGAATTGACGACACAGCGTCGGTTTGAACGAACGGTACTATGGCAGCCACTATAGTCTTAGAACACAAGATAGGAAGAGTTACGAGTTGGGAATGACTCCCAGCTCCTACAAACCCCAAGAGCCGAGGTACAGTGATGTGGAACAGTGCCACACTGTCCCCAACCACGAAGGGTCTCGAAACTACCCTTCACTAGGGCCTACACCAAGTGAAATGTTACACTACACAAAGTAATGTAACTATATTCAATATCTTGAGGTGTACCCTTTTGGCAAGCTTCGAAATCACTTGAGGCTTGACACCAAGGCTCGGGCTCTTCATCACAAACTCATCCTTGAGTTCTTGATGGGTCTGCTGCACACACCTGCGACACGCCGAACGTTCGACACATGACAAAATAGAAACCGCGCAAGACAAAATAGAAACCGCGCGCGAGACACAAACGACCGCGTAACACGCGTCTAGCGATAACTCGCTATTGACTCGACACACACACTCGACATCATGACTCAACATTCACACACAATTATAAGCATGAAATATATATTATCCCATGCCCTCATACCATTCCATACACACACACATTCACGCACACGGACAACAAGCCGAGTGCAAACCGTAGGGTTGCACCAACAAACTCCCCCTCGGATTGTTGGCCTTAGGATATGTTGCTCTCTCAGTTCAGAGCCATCCCAGCCAGCTTGCAACACTTCCAATGCTGCTGCTCCACCAGCCTCTTGGTCATCATGTCAGCCGGCTGCCCCGTGGTCTTCACGTAGCACAACTCAACTTCACCCGCGGTTACCATGCTCCTCGTCCAATGCCACTTCACCCTCATGTGCTTCGTGAGTCCATGCAACACAGGGTTCTTAGCAAGAGCAATGGCACCCTGGCTGTCACAGTACAGTGGGGTAGGTCCTTGCTGCTCCTCCCCCAATTCAGCCAACAAACGCCGCTGCCACACAATCTCCCGTACGGCACGGAAGAGTGCCAT